CCAGAGTCTTTTCTTTATTTCTTTTTAGTATGTGATATTGGTTATTGCATTAGTTTTTTGATTTTTGGCTTTGAAATCTATGATATGTGAAACACCACATTCTAGCTCCGAGTTCAAAATTTATATTAAGGAGTTAATTTTACTTGTAGAACAACTTTTATTTAATTAAAAAAGCTTTTTGTTGGTTAAATATGAAGTTTGCAAAGCATTAAACAATTAATTATTAAAAACAATGTTTTTATTATCTGAGATTCAAATATATAAATTTTGACTCTTTAAATCATTCTTGAAGTTTGCATATAAAGTTCGGTTTTAAATCAAATTTTGATGGTAATCATAATTGAAACAAATTTTGTTCCAAATTTTGATAAACTCCAAACATATGAAATTTAAAATATGAAAGAACCGGTGAAAAATGCAGAAGATAAAGAAAGAATATGATTTGTTTATGGTAATTTAAAAGTATGCAATAATAAAAAAGATTTTTAAGAAAATACAATCATTCAAAAATCAATTTCTATTGGCAACCAGGAAATCAATTGTTATGATTTAAAGCGATGGTTTATTTTTTTAAAAGAGATGGTTATTGATCCAGAGGAAGATGTAGAATTAAATCGACGGTACACCAATTTCGAGACTAATCGTGAAGAAATTTGGAAGAAAAATAAAAAAGTTATTATCTATCATTGAAAGTGAAAAAGTCACATGTATCAATAAATAATAAAATAATAATGATGATAGACTATATATACTAGTGTATAGAAACAAATTATAAAAATATTTACTGTGTAATGTTTTTTATTTATATAATTATGATCCATAATTCAGTTTTTGGTTATTTTATCAATTATTTGAAAGACTTCCAGCTCATCATAGTTACTATCGTCTACTATATCGATGTTATTATAAGTTACTGAATAACTACCAATGCCATCTGCATCAAAATAAATATCATAACCATCACCAAAGACAGGCAAACCAGAAGAGTAACACCAAGTTGCATGATCATAATC